TAGAGGACATACCAGGAGCCAGGCATAGACAAAAGTCAGAGATGATTAAAGGAGTGAGCCAACTACAAGGGCAGTTTAAGAACCAACTACACAAATATTGTCTTTCATTCCTGGCTATCCTCTTTCACTCTTTCAAATAAATAAAATAAATCTCAAAAAAAAATATTTTACATAGTCCACCAGTGAATCCATCTCATCCTGGAGTGGTTTTGGTTTTTGTTTTTTGTTTTGTTTTGTTTTTTGATATGTGTAAGATTTTTAAATGGTAATTCAATTTAAAGTTATTTATTTATATGAAAGGCAGTTACAGAGACAGGGAGATCAGCTTCAATCTACTGGTTCACTTCCTCAAAGGCTTCAACGGCTGGAGCTAGACCAGGCCAAAGTTAGTAGCCAGAACTCCAGCCAGGTCTCCCACACAGGTAGCAACTTTCCCAGGTGCATGAGCGGGGAGCTGGATCAGAAGTGGAGAAACCACAACTCAAACCAGCACCCTCATGGGATGCCAGCATCATAGGTGACCGTTCAATCCACCACACCACAACACTGGCCCCTCTGCTCTCATTTTTATTATTTACTTTCTTCTGCTTGCTTGGACAAAAACTTGCTTTTCTTTTTCAGGTTTCTTAAGATGAAATTTAGTTACTGATTTGAGAACCTTCTTTTTTGTTATAGCTGGTATTTAAAGCTATAAACTTTTCTTTAGAGAAAAATGCTTTAGCTGCATTTTGATCTGTCATATTTCTGCTTTAATTCAGTTCAAACATTTTCTAATTTCCCTTGTGGTATCTTCCTTGACCCCTGAGTTATTTAAAATTGCACCATTTAAATTTCATATATATATATATAATTTTCCAAATTTCCTTTTATTTTTTATTTCTAATTGTCTTTGGGGTCAAAGAACATACTTAGTATGATTTTGTTCCCTTCAGATTCATTGAGACTAATCTGGTGGCCAGGCGTACGGTGCGTCGTGGAGAAGGTTCCACGAGTGCCTGAAGTCACTGGGTGAAGTGATCTGAATCACACTCACTCCTGACTGGCACAAGCATAATCAGACCTAAAGCAGCCTCACATAGCCTTCGAAACTTAACTGAAATTATAATCCACTGAAGCTGAACCAAGATTTTTTCTTGGAAACAAACTGGGTTGATAACTGGCTTACACAAAGATTTAACATCGTGTAGAAGATTCTAACAGACTCAAGGATTATCAAACAATCAGTATATACTCTTGTTTTCATTTTCTTTCATTCAACAAGATTTTGAAATTCATTCATGTTGCTGAGGCTACCACTGGTTCATTTATTTTTATTGCTGTGTAGTAGTCCATCATATATACCACATATATATTTTGTTTATCCGTTACTTTTTGATGAAGGTTTGGGTTGCTCAAGTTTTAGACTTCAGTGAATAAATCTGCTGTTTACACAGTTCTTTGGGTGGACATGCCTTTACCTCTCTTCACTGAATCTGTAGAAATGAAATGGCTGGTATCTGATCATTATATGTTTAACTTTTTAAGAAAATTGGCAGTTTTCCAAGGTGGCTGTGCTATTTTCATATCAACCAGCATTGTATAAGAATTCTAATTGTACCACATCTTTGTGAATGCTTGGTATAGTCAACCAATCTTTTTAATCATTCTGATGAACATATAATGACATCTTTTTGGCTTTAATCTGCATTTCCCTGATGAATGAGGATACTGATCATCTGTTCATGTGGTTACCCGTCATCTGTATATCTTCTGTGAAGTGTCTTTTCAAATCTTTTGTCTATTTGTAATTGAGTTGTCTTCTATTGTGAAGTTGTAAGATTCCTTTTGTATTTTGGATACAAAATCTTTGAAATATATATACCGAGAACCTTCTCCCATTATCTGGCTTGCCGTATGTCCTTTTGTTGTTTTTTAATGGTGTCTTTCAAAGACCAAACGTTTTTAATTTTGGTGAAGTCCAATGTAGAAATTTTAGTTGAAATTTAATTTCTAGTTTCATTGCATTGTGGAAAAAAAATCTCTTCTCAGGAATGTAAAGTTTTAGAAATATATTGAAGTTTTCTTTATGGTCTACTGAGTAGGGATTCAATGTGTTATCCATAAATGGTAGAAAATAGAAATCCAGTTCTTACGCACACTATAATTTGACCTGTTTGTTCAGTTTTTGCCCTTTAGATCTATCAACGATACAAAAAATATGTTAAAGCATCCCATGATTATGTTAATTTCTCCATGTAGTTCTAATACCTTCTCAAACTTGGATTAATTAAATACTCTTGCCTTTGGTGAAAAATCCATCACTCTGACCAGCTTGTTGATTTGCACAGTTCATAATTTTTTGACAGCATTACATTCACACTTTGCCTTGTCTGAATATAACTGACATATTTTATCACTCTTTTAATATAATTTTTCTGTAGTTTTAAAATACTGCATCCTCTATAAACAGCATATACATGGATTTAAGTCTGCTGGACAACATTTTTCCTAACTAGAAAAAATTTAACTGTAACGTTTATTATTACAATGTTATATTCTGTCTTATTTTGGAAATCTGTTGTGTTTCTGCTATTTTTTCCTTGGCAGTATCCTCTCTCAGGTTTGGCTTTTATTTTTTAAATATTTCTATAAGAATTGTATTAATGTCTATGTTTATACATTTTAAAATTATTTTATACTATATAGCCCCAATTTTAGAAATCTTACCAATTTCACATAATCATAGCAAAGAACTTCAGCATACTTTGCTCCTCAAATTCTTTCACTGTCTACCAACTTTTTAATCATTGTTAACATAATATAGGGATTTAAATTAATTATTATTAAATTTGATTTTATACATTGTATATCTTTATCTTCAAGAATCAGTTAACATTCACATTCTAATTTATAACTAGATGTGTATCAATTATTTAAACTTGTTTCAGTTTTATTGGGTTCTAGTGTTCTCTACTTATCCTTTATATGATTGCTTCCCCATGTGTAGGAAGTCTCATGATTCATCTCTGGATTGCTTGATGTGTTAACATAATTTTTTCCAGGAAAGAAATAAGTGGTGCATATATTACATAAGCTCTCCTATATAAGAAAACATGCTTCTGATAATTTTGCAAGTGAAAAACTCTGATTGTATATAAAACTGAGTCACAACTTCTCTCCTTCCAAACCGCATTGCTAACTTCTCTGCTGGCATCATCCTACCTAGAAACTTGCAGGATATTCTTTTAATCCTCAAGGTTCAATTTTTTTCCAGAATATATTCATATTTCATTACGCTAACTTTACTTGATATGTGGACTCCGTAAAGGTACTTGTCTTCTGAATTTTTTTTCTGAATTCTATGGCTCACTTTCAGAACTATGCTTTTATCCAATGAGTACTAAATCTAGAAGACTTCATTGCTCTATGGCATGTTTTCACAGGTCCTACGTTATTAGTGTGTTGTTTCTCTCCTTACTTATTTATGAGCTTTGGGGTATATTCATATTACATCATTGGCCCCAATAAGTGCATTTATACATCAAAGTTGAGTGTTATGGTCAATTTTTCTCAGAAAGCCATATTGTTTAGCTTTAGCACTTTTAAATGCTAATTCTTCGCCTGAATTCCTAGCCCTATTCTTAACAGTTCTTGCCTGGGACTTTCTTCAGTATTCCATCTCTTCCTTTACTTGGACGCCTATTGGTGAGCTTCCCATGGAGCCCCACGGGGTATTTGGATGAGACAGACACCCTGGAGCGTGGGCCCTGGTCAGAGCGGAGCTGGAAGGAGGTGCACACCCACACAGACGGGAGGGAGCATCTCTGTTTCCCAGCACAGATTCTCAAGAGGAGTCCAGAGTGCCTGGAAACAGAAAGAGTGGGCTTGGACCCACTCTCAGGGCCAGATTCACACACATCAGCGTGAGAAGAAATCAAAGGGAGAAAGGAACAGCAGAAACAAACCCAGTTCCAAGCTGTGAACTCTATGGGCTCTGATTCAAATGTGAAACCTTCCTTGGGGCATTTCTAACACCAGTGTGTGCTTGGGACTCCTAAGGAAGATAACTACAGCTGAAAAGAAAGTCAGGAAAGTACTGCAGCATTCTTTCTAATCAGGCTGGAAAATAATCTAAGGAGCAAGAAATGAAATACAGCATACTCATGAGATAAAATATACTCAATATTAAAAGGGCTGTGATAAATTAACACAGCTAGAGCATGGATGCAATATATTAAAAATATATAGATGACTAATACATGAAATTATCTGTTACTATTTATATAATTTTAAAAAATGGAAAAACAAAATAATTATATGCTTACAACATATACTATATATGGGTAGATAAAATATGTGTGCACATTATATATGAGCATTATATACACATATAGAAATATTAAATAGGTTGAAATAATACACACAAAATTAATTATAGTGATTTTCTGAGCGATGGAGCAGAGATAGTAACATGCTAAGCCATGTAAAACAAAGTGAATTAAAACTTCACTTGTAATATTTTAATTCACACAGGGTATAAACAAGTGTTGATTCTTCACAGTGGGTGTTTATAAAAATTTCATTTATGCTTCTGCAATCTTTTTATTTTCTCTCAAAACAAAAAAAAAATTCAACCTGTATAAGAAGTAGAGATACATTTTGTTCTCCTGAACTGCCAATTGAAAATAGTCTGCTATAATTAATCAATCAAACATTTCTTATAGAACATGAAAAAACCACAGGAATGGTTAACGTGGGCCCCTACTCTACCGAAACTGACGGCTCCAATGTCCCCATTACTACGTTTGTAGCAGCCACTTCTCAATGATCGCTGCAGCACTGCTCTGCGGATGAATCGAGGGAGAACATCCTTGCTCATTCTGAGTCTCTGACCCAACTCTGTGGTTAATTTTGATAATACTTTTTTAAAAAGTGAAATGTTTCTGTCATATTTAAGATGAGGATGTAACTTCCTACTGAGAGAGTGACTTTCCAGAAAGATGGGGTGGTTGTGTCCTTACCTGCTCTTTCATTTCAGCGTAGACTTTCTCTGAGTTCAGTTCCACCTGCCGCTTAAACTCCTCCAAAGCGGCATCTGCCTGCTGGGCCTGCAACCTTTGAACTTCAGTCACACGAGCCAGCTGCTCGTCTTTTTCCCTAGAAAAGTTCAGAGTTAAAATATAAAAGAACCAGCCTTGAATGAAAGAACAATATTTAACCTTCTGAAATAAAACTCAGATTTCCTTTTTATTTTTGATCCAAATCCTACAAAACTTCCCATCAAAAAGTTGAGAACAAGATAATTTTTCTCAGGAGAAAAAGGGTATAAATGAATAATATGTATTCTGATGAGGACATAACTACTTTCAAAAATTTCCTAAAAACAAATCCTAATAAAACTCTCTCCCAATGGATGAAAGTAAAATGTGGTATAGCCACACAGCAGGCAATTATCCAGCCTTACTGGAAAGAAATCAGCTTTATGTGAAAGCAGTCAGTCACAAAAGGTCACCTATTACATGATTCCCTTTATGAGAAATGTTCAGAACAGGTAAATCCACAGAGAAAGGCAGTGGCTGTGTTGTTGCTAGGGGGCGGGTGGGGAGAACAGGGAGCGAATGCTAATGGCTATGGGGTTTCTTTAGTAATGATGAAAATGTTCCAGAATCACAAAGTGGCGACAGCTGCACAGCCATGTGAATACCCTAAAATTCAACTCTACACTTCAAAAGGGTGAATTCTACGGGATGTGAATTATACCTCAACTTTTAAAAAGCCAGTGTGCCAAGAGAAGATGCATTTCTACCAGCAGTTAACTTGCATGGTGGTCAGTGCAGCAGAGCAATGGGGTGGCTTGAAGTTATTCTACGACCCTCTAGGAAAACTGCCTACAAGAACAAATAATCATCTTAGTTCTTCAACTCTTGAACTGAAATTATGTAGACAAAAGATTCTAACAAAAATCTGCTTGTAGAAGAAAAAAATAAAGGTTTTAGTTTATAAAATGGATGCAAGTTAACAATAGCTACTTTTGTATTCTGACTAGGTGCTGGGCATTAAGCAAAATATTTCACGTGCCTCCTCTCCTTTACTCTCACAGTAATCCTGTTGTGACAGTGCCATTACATTCATAGTTGCATAGAGCCAGGATCCCAGCACAGTTATACACGGAGCCAGGATCCCAGCACCGAGTTATACATGAAGCCAGGATCCCAGCACAGTTATACACAGAGAGAGGCTCCCAGCACAGTTATACACGGAGCCAGGATCCCAGCACAGTTATACATGGAGCCAGGATCCCAGCACCGAGTTATACATGAAGCCAGGATCCCAGCACAGTTATACACGGAGCCAGAATCCCAGCACAGTTATACACGAAGCCAGGATCCCAGAACAGAGTTAAACATGGAGCCAGGATCCCAGCCTGCTTCCATAGTCCCTGTGGCTGGCTACTGACCTAGGCTGCCCTCTGGATTTTCCAGATGTCATAAGGACGATGGACTTGGCTCAGCGGCCCCAACTGGGGACGTTTACACATGTGTAAAACACTGTCTACTAACCCTAACACTGAAGAATGCTAGCAATTGGGTAAGTGAATTCACCCAAATGAAGTTGTAGAGAAACATCACCATGCAAGGATACAGATTTCTAAACGACGATGCCTCTGTCTGCAGAGGTAGGCGAAAGGCATTCTAAGCTGTTTGGAGGTATTCACACCTAAATTAAAGAACCCTTAAAGACACATCAATTCCCAGGTTATCCAATAAGAACATGTATGCAAAGCAAGCATATTAGAATATCACACTCTCTTCCATGGAAAAGCCTGATACAATGTGTCACCTAGTTTCCACTGCTGCAGGACTCTCCTGTTTTTTCATAAGGAATCACACACACACACACACTCTGTTCTCTCCTTCCTCCCCAGCCTTGTGTTTTGGCATGGTCTAAACACAAATAAGCAGCTCTTTGAAAATGGACTGAAAGAAAATACTCTATATCTCTTCTATATCTCTCTCTTTTTTTTTTTTTTTACAGGCAGAGTGGACAGTGAGAGAGACAGAGAGAGAAAGGTCTTCCTTTTCCGCTGGTTCACCCCCCAATGGCCACTGTGGCCGGCGCACTGAGCTGATCCTAAGCCAGGAGCCAGTTGCTTCTCCTGGTCTCCCATGCAGATGCAGGGCCCAAGCACCCAGGCTATCCTCCTCTGCACTCCCGGGCCACAGCAGAAAGCTGGCCTGGAAGAGGAGCAACCAGGACAGAATCCGGCGTCCTGACCAGGACTAGAACCCGGGGTGCCGGCGCCGCAGGCAGAGGATTAGCCTAGTGAGCTGCAGCACCGGCCATCTCTCTTATTTTTCATTTTATTTTATTTTTCATATCTACCCACACATCCATCTAAATGAAAATGATAATTATCACTGTCCTCCATGACAAACAAAGCAAGTTGCCCACCAAATCCCTGCTCTTCTGTGTGTCTATTTGTCAGGCGCAGCCATATTTTTATGACCTACTGGGTTTACTACTGCCCTAAGGCGTGTTATGCCCTGCATGGTAACTAAGTCATTCTAAGTAAAGAAGAACACCAGGTGTGGCTCTCCGTTACCACATTTTAAAAAAACACATTACAGGTTTCTGGAATTTTAAAAAGCTTTTATTTAAATTGTCCCCTTTAATGAACAAGAACCAGCATTTCTTGTTCTCCACCATTTTCCATACGTTTCATTAAAAAAAAAAAACTTTAATGTTAACTAGTTGCTAAGTGCCAAAGCCTTAATATTAGTGATGATTTTTTTGTAATTTAATATTAGCATATAGATAATGGTGATTAATAAATATAATAAAATTAAATATATAAATAAAATTAAATATATAATTTATGAATAAATAAAATTAAATATAAAAATAAATATAATCAAATTAAATTAAAAGTATTAATAAATTAAATATAATTCTGAATGCTCATTCCAGAGACAGCATTACATAGAATGCTCTGATTACTAGAGAATTTTCATTTGGTCTGGTGCATTTTTATCCCTCCTGTATTATTCTGTCCAAGAAGCAGGAAGCCTTGAGTTGTGGTTAGAGTTTCCCTGGTACAAATTTTGATACTATGAACATTCAACTATACGAACATCAAGACAGCATATGGAAACAACACAGTCATAGAAACTATGTGGGGTACCATGGTCTAGGCCTGGTTGGTAAACAAATGTTCTCTGGTGTGATGGTCTCAGTTGACTGGAAGCGGCTGCCTGGGGTTCTCCATGGCAAGGATTCTGGGGGGGCTCAGAGGAAAGGACAGCCATGGCTGATGGACACCACAGCAAGGTGCCGGGGGTTCACTTATCCATGCAAGGGCTGTGTCTCTGCCACTCGGAGATTACAGTGACTAATTCATCCTATGTTACTCTTTAATTTTTGAGGCCTTCCAAAAATCACTTGGGAAGTCTATTTAAGAATTAAGATGAAAATTTATGAAAAGTTTACTTTTGTCAGTTTGTCTATAAATAGAAAAGAAAGTACAATGGACAACATCTGAAAACTTCGAAAGCATATTTATTATATAATTTAAAATTATGTGCCATTAATTATCCAAAACAAAAACTGATAGCCCATTTTCTAAATTGCATGACTTATGGCTGAAATATCAACTTTGTTCTGTCCATGTTGAAAGTCAGCTGTTATATAATTTTTGTGTGCTAACAAACATGAGATACTTAAATACTTTCAATTTAACAGGACATTTTTCTCTATATCATGTCATTCTTACCTACCAACTTAATTTCATTTACTTTTTTAAAAATATTTTTGTCTTTTCTACAAGGCATTGTTGTGGAGCAGCTCACATGGGATGCCAGCACGGCAGGCAGCGGCTTCACCTGCTCTGCCACAGCGCCAGCCCCAAGTTCATTTACTTTATAATTAACTTATGACCACATAAAATCAAAGCCATAGAATTTAACCATCATTAGGTACACATTAGAGAACATTTTTAAAAGTTAATATCTTGCACATAAGGTACATTGCTTTTAACTATCCTGATTTACAAGTAGCAAATATTGTCATGTTAAATAGCAAGCACAGGGAAATGTGTGAAATGTCCTAATTAATTCCTAGTCCAATCACACCAGTTGAGCTACTCTAACAGTAAAGCTAAATTCAAAGACCGGTCTCACCCAATATAAACCTATATTCTTGTCCAGCGAAACTATGACAAATACATTGAACTCCCTTAATATTAAGGAATCTTCTATCTTAATATAAATTAAATCTGTTTTAATTTAAGCAAAAATTTAATGTTTATTTTCAAGAAGAATCCAGTTTAACTTCAATAAGGTAAAGAAGCAAAAACTTGAGTTTGAAATAAGACAAATATGTATTCCTTACTATCACAAGAACAGGCTTCCTTTTTACCAAGATCCCAAACAGTGCATTCTACAAGAAGAAAAAAAAAGGAGGGGACTTTGAAGACTATTTTTTCCCCAGTGGAACTAGCTGTGGGGCCAAGTATAAATGCATCACTCAAATGCCTTAGAGCTGGGTTCCATAATGATAAAAAGGTGGGAAGAAAATTTGCTTTTCAGCTCTGCTTTATTTATAAAGTCGAGTAAGTTTTCCTCATCTGAGTATATAAAGGATAAAGAAAAAAGAAGTTGCATTCTTACATAACCACAGCCAGCTCAGATTAAAGCATGTTCTGAAGTACATGATTATTCCAAAAAGAGCAATAAAACGCCAGAGACTAATGGACTACAATTTAGTATTCCTTCAGCTTTACAAGTTAACATTTGTATGTGCAGGCCAACCTTAATTTGAAAATCTTCCTTTTGCACATTTCTGTACCAGTGCTTTGATAATTATGGCCAGGATCCAACATATATTTATAAGGCTTCACATTACAGTGTACTTCATTTGCTGCCAGCTTGGCATCTCCACTGGAAACTCCAAGAAAAACAAAACAAAACAAAAAACTTCAAACAAGACTGAAAGAAAAAAAAAAAAAAACAGCTAGCAGAGTCTCCAATCCCTTTCCAGCTGGGCCAGGAACAGATTCTCAAGTAGCGTATTACCTCTGTTCTTGGCCACCACAGAGAACTCAAATTGATTGCACTGAGTCCATCACAGACATTAAAAGACCAGTAGTCTGCTCAGTTCTC